TCTCCCTTTCTCTCTCTCTTTCTCTCCCGCAATTTCTCCTCTCTCTCCCTCCCTCCCTCCCTCTCTCTTATTCTCCCTCTCCCTCCCTCCTTCCTATCCACAGGCTTCATGTCATGGCATCGGGACAGTCTGGCTGGGAACGATGGGGATGACTTTCTTTGAAGACATTTCACTTCTCATCCAAGAAGCTTCTTTCTGTTCTTCAGTTTTCTGGTTGTTCTTTGCACAGTCAGCCAGATGTTCAGACTGGATTTTGCATTGTTGTTGTTGTTGTTATGACAGTGTACACAGCAAGCAAGATAACTATGCTGGGTTTCATATCACAAATCACTAGTCCGCAACACTTTCCAAGCATTTAGGACTGGGTGTGAGCAGATCCCAGTAAGGTGGCCTTCTGCAGCTGACCAGTGGGGATTTTGTCAGTGCTAATTGTTTTCAAATGCTTGCCTAGGTCTTTAGGCACAGCACCCAGTGTGCCCAGTATCACTGGAACCACCTGCACTGGTTTATGCCAGAGTCTCTGCAGTGCGATTCTCAAGTCCTGATATCTGGTGATTTTTTTCCGAGTTTTTTCTCGTCAATTCTGCTGTCACCGGGTATGGCAATGCCGACGATCCACACTTTTTTCTTCTCCGCAGTTGTGAGATCCGGGGTGCTGTGTTCCAAAACTTTTGTCAGTCTGTATTCGGACGTCCCACAGTAGTTTTGCATGCTCATTTTCGACCACTTTTTCAGGCTTACGATCCCAGAGTTCTTCGCTACAGGCAGATGGTAATTGTGACACGAGTTCCAGTGGACCATCTGAACGACTGTGTTGTGCCGTTTGTAGTCAGTCTCAGCTATTGTCTTGCAACAGCTCAGCATGTGAGCGATGGTTTTATCCACTTCTTTGCAGAGCTTGCATTTGGGGTCATCAGCAGATTTTTCTATTCTGATGGCTTGTCCTTGGGCTGCAAGAATCAGGAAATTATTGTTGTTATTGTTATTATTATTAAAATATATGCCGCTTGATTCCCAACACTTATGGGACTTTTGTTTTCTGTTTTAATTATTCATTGAACAAATTTATATAGAGATAGCATTTGTTTAGTGACCATTACACCGGCACTGAAAAAATGACCGTTTCACACTTATGACTGCTGCAACATCCCCACGGCCACATGATCAAAATTCAGAGGCTTGGCAACTCTTATTTATGACGGTTGCAGTGTCCTGTGTTCACATGATCCCCATTTGCAAACTTCTGGCCAGGAAAGTGGAGGGGGGGGGGGAAAGTCACTTAACAACCTGTTGCTAATTTCACCACAGCAGTGATTCACTTAACAACATTGGCAAGAAAGGTCGTAAAATGTGCCAAACTCCCATAACAACTGTCTTGCTTAGCAACAGAAACATTTTGGGCTCCATTGCGTGTGGCCATAAGTTGAGGACAACCTGTATGAACAACAACAAGTTTACAAGAGTGAGATGGGTGGAAATGAAATGCAATACAGACATTCTTTCCCTGGACAAATCTCCGAATTTTTCAGGGCAAGATTCCCGAAGTGGTTTGGCCATTATCTCCTTCTAGGACCGAAAAAGCCTAAAATCACAAAAAGGAAGCAGGGTAGCATTTGCAAATGACCTCGACTATGTGTCAGAATGGTCAAACAAATGGCAACTTCAAATTTCAACAAACAAATGCTCTGTCTTACATATTGGTTAAAAAAAAAAATCAGAAAATAAAAGCTGAATGGTCAAGACCTTGTTGGTGATCCAAACTCTGTCAAGGACCTTGGAGTACTCATCTCTAATGATCTAAGTGCTAGAGCCCACTGTAACTACATAGCCAAAAAGGCATTAAGAGTTGTTAACCTAATCCTGCGTAGCTTTTTTTCTGGTAATATTACACTACTAACTAGAGCATACAAAACATTTGCTAGACCAATACTTGAATACAGCTCATCAGCCTGGAACCCGCATTACGTATCTTATATTAGCGCAGTTGAGAAAGTCCAGAAATATTTCACAAGAAGAGTTCTCTGCTCCTCTACTTGTTGTAGAATACCTTATGCCACCAGACTTGAAATTCTAGACCTAGAAAACCTTGAATTACGCCGTCTTCGGTCCGATCTAAGTATGGTATATAAAATCATACATTGCAATGTCCTACCTGTCAATGAATACTTCAGCTTCAACCATAACAACACAAGAGCAAACAATAGATGCAAACTCAAGGTTAACCGCACCAAACTTGATTGCAGGAAATACGACTTCAGCAACCGAGGGGTCAATGTCTGGAATACTCTACCTGACTCTGTGGTTTCTTCCCCAAACCCCAAAAACTTTAACCTTGGACTGTCTACTATTGACCTCACCCCCTTCCTAAGAGGCCTGTAGGGGGCGTGCATAAGCGCACCAACGTGCCTACTGTCCCTGTCCTATTGTTTCTTTTTTTAATTCATATCCATTTCATGTATTCATAACCATGTTTATACTTATACCTGTTATCTAACACTTGCTTAACAAACAAATAAATAAATAAATCACCATTTCCCGCTAGAGGGCATTTTAACTCTACCCATGCTTCTTAGCCACGCTGCCTTCTCAGCCAGTGCTAATAAAACGCTACAACGCATGTAGTGCGGATTTATACAATGCAGAATTAATTCCTGGTAGTGCTAAACAAAAAGTGCTGTCTTGTAAAATGTATCAATAAAGGAAAATAAATAGATAAAATGCACGCACTTCAAACTGAACCCAAAGCACATTTCTGTTGGAAAAACACACTCTGCGCTCTACAATCGACGCAGAGAACAGTAGCAAAGATGATTAGGAGACTGGAGGTGAAAGCATACAAAAAAACAGTTGCTGGAACTGGGTAGGTCTCGTTTCATGAAAAGAAGGACTAGCAGGGACAGGATAGCAGTCTTCCAATATTTGTTGGGCTGCTCCAAAGAAGAAAGGAGTCAAGCTATTCTCCAAAGCCCCAGAAGGCAGGACAAAAAGCAACGGGTGGAAACCAATCAAGGAAAAGTCAAGAAAAGAAGCAACGGATGGAAACGAATCACGGAGAGAAGCAACCTGGAATTAAGGAGAAATGTCCTGACAGTGAGAACAATTAACCAGTGGAACTGCTTGCCTCCAGAAGTTGTGAATTCTCCATTACTGGGAGTCTGAAGAGATTCTCCGTCATCCAGGTCATGGTTGTCCTAATGGTGCTTTTTTTCAAGAGGCAACTGAACTTTCTGGTTTTTCTTTGAAGACGTTTCACTTCGATACAGGTACAGATTAACAGAGATGGAAGGGACCTTGTAGGTCATCTAGTCCAACCCCCCACCCAAGCAGGAGACTCTATACCATTTCTGACAGAGGGCAGTCCAGCCTCTTCTTGAAAGCCTCCAGGGATGAAACTCCCACAATTTCCGAGGGCAACTTCTGTTCCATGGGTTGATTGTTCTCCCTGTCAGAAAGTTTCTCCTTATTTCTAGGTTGAATCTCTCCTTGTTCAGTTTCCATCCATTATTTCTTGTCTGGCCTTTAGGTGCTTTGGAAAATAGCCTGACCCCCTCCTCCTCTCTGTGGCAGCCCCTCAAACATTGGAGCACTGCTATCATGTCTCCCCTGAGTTCTTCTCTTCACTAGACTAGCCATGCTCAATTCCTGCAACAAACTTCTTGAGAAGCGAAACATCTTCAAAGAAAAACCAGAAAGTCCAGTCGCTTCTTGAAAAAAAAAGCAGCTTTGCTTTGGGTAATTGATAAAAATTTACCAAAACAGAGCTTTGGGCTGTTTCTATATGTAGCGATGATATATAGTGCCAGGACTCTTTAGGCAAATATGCTATGTTTCATTATTTTGTTTAAACAAAATAAAAATAAAAACCATAAAAGAAACATTTCAATAAAAAAATAATGATTACAAATAATAAATGAGTAAATATATATTTACTTATTTATTATTTGTAATCATTAATAGATATAGATTAGATATAGATATAGATTAGACAGACAGATATAGATATATATGTAGATTAGATATAGAGATAGACACAGACATAGATATAGATTAGATATAGATATATAGGTTAGATATAGACATATAGATTAGACATAGGTATAGATTTGATATAGATATAGATTAGATACAGATATAGACATATATATTGTTGTGGGCCAGAGGCTGACTCTGTAAACCACTTAGAGAGGGCTGTACAAGCACTGGGAGAAGCGGTATATGAGTCTAAGTGCTATTCCTTCCTTCCTTCCTTCCTTCCTTCCTTCCTTCCTTCCTTCCTTCCTTCCTTTCTTTCTTTCTTTCTTTCTTTCTTTCTTTTCTTTCCTTCTTTCCTTCCTTCCTTCCCTCCCTCCCTCCCAGTGGTTAGAATGCAGTATTGCAGGCTAACTCTGCCCACTGCCAGTAGTTTGATCCTGACCAACTGGCTCCAGGTGGACTCAGCCTTCCCTCCTTCCGAGGTGGGTAAAAATGAGGA